GAAGTACCTTGGGGCTACTTACAACCTGACTTCAAAGCTCAAAATCACAGGACATGTTTTATGATAGTTTTCCTGAAAACTCATACTTGTTTCTGGGTATTGACAAAACCTCACCCTCCCAGCGAATCATTGGTTTGTTTAATAATAGTGAAGTTGATTAATGACCTCAATGATTTGCTAACTGCAGCAGAAAAGGTTGTAAATATTTTTACAACCAACACAACCTATGATCAGGATGGGGCAGGCTCCATTACAGACATAAGTTGAGGACTACTTATAACACAAATAGTATATTGTTCTATGTTTGCTTCTTTGGAAAAGGATACCATATAAAGGATGGGGATTTTTTTTTTTACCCATGAATATCACTGGGGAAAAATAACTAAACTTAAATAATCTTCTGCACAACAAAGGACAAGATACAAGTACAGTATTTATAATCTTACATTAGCACTATAGGATATGGCTTTTGTAAAAAATTAAATATAGTAGCACACAGCTAGCTGAATTCACACAACAGGTCTATTCACAGGTACAGATAGTCCTCAACTTACAACCACAACTGAGCCCAAAATTTCTGTTGTTATGTGACAATGTAACAACATTTGTTAAGTGAGTTTTGCCCCATCTTACAACCTTTCTTGCCTCAGTTGTTAAGTGAATCACTGCAGTTGATAAATTACTAATCCAGTTGTTAAGTGAATCAGTGCAGTTGATAAATTACTAATCCGGTTGTTAAGTGAANTAGTTTTCTTCTGTACTCCAATCCCTTCAATCAATGAATCTTCCCTAATTGCATTTGCCAAAACCTCCATCAATAATGCAAATAGAACTGGGGATGAAGGGCAACCCTGTCTTGTTCCCCAGTTTAAGGTTGCTGTCTCTGTAACACTATCATTGATGGCTATACTCGTTTTATTCTCTGAATATAGTTGATTTATCATATGTCTACATTTTTTACCAAAACCTAACTTCTCTATTAATATCTTTAATGTAGGCCACTCCACACAATCAAAGGCCTTAAATACATCTAATGCTAATACACCTGTGTTTAATTTTTAATTTTATATAATAACCTATGTTTGATACCCTTCTTACTTTGTCTGATATTTGTCGGCCTCTTATAAATCCACACTAGTCATTTTTAATATAATTCTTTATAAATATATTTAATCTATTTGCCAATATTACTGTAAAAATGTTAGCATCCTGATTAATAAGTGATATTAGTCTATATGATCCTGGGTTTGTATGATCTTTACCTGGTTTCGCTATCAGTATTACCAAGGATTGCTTCCAGGAACATGGAACACTTTCCCCTTCCATTATTTTATTAAACATTATCTTCATCTTCGGCATCAATAACTTTTTGAAATTTTTATAGTATTCTACACCTAATCCATCTAACACTGGTGCTTTAAATATCTTCAATTTATAAATAACTTCCACTATTTCCTTGTCTTCTTTTTGTGATTCCATTATTTCATTGTTTTCTTGAATTTTACTTTCATTCACATTTATGTCATTTTCCATATATAGCTTTTCAAAGAATTTCTGAAATATCAACAATTTTTCTCTCATCATATTACATCTTTCTCCCTTGTCATTCTTTATTATCCTTTATTAGCTTGGGGGCTCTAGCCAACATTCTAGCATTTTTATTACTGTTTTCATAAAATTCCCCATTTAAGTATATTAGATTTCTCTGAATCTATTGTTCTATTGCAATATTTTGCAATTCTTTTTTAGCTGATAGTTATAACATAATCTTATTCTCTCTACTTTCTATATATTTACTCTTGAGTTCTCTAATTTCCTCCTCCAAACACTTTATATATTTCTCTTTGTTTTTTTATATTATAAGAATATTTTATCCCTAAACCTCGCACTACTGCTTTCATTGCATCCCATATTACATCTGTATTGCTACCTCTCTCTACTTCATATTTCTTTCAATTCCCTTTCCATTTTTTTAAAAGCTCTTTAATTTTTAAAATTCTCAAATCCATTCTCCATCTACTTGCTTGTTTATAATCACAATCTGTTTCCATATGCATAGTTACCATTGCATGATCAGATATTTTAATCATTTTTATCTCTGCTCTCATTATTTTAGATAATATTTCTGGTGTTATAAATATATAGTCTATTCTCATAAAAATTTTATGTCTACTAAAAAAATGTGTATACCTCTTTTGATTACTATGTAGTTCTCTCCAGAGCTTTCAATCTATTTCTACTAATAAATTTTCTTAAATCTGTATTATTTTACTTTATTTCCATTTTTGATGGATTGGATTTGTCAATCCTGCTATCCATAACCATATTATAATCACCTGCCATTATCACGTAACCTTTTTTGACTTCTTCTATTTCTTTACATACCCTATTATAAAACTCTCTTTGATTGATATTAGATGCATACAAGTTTGCTAAGGTAACCTCTTGCCCAAAAATCAATCCTTGAATTATAAGAAATCTTCCCAAAACATCATTTTTATAGTCTTTGCCATAAATTCATATCTTTTAGCTACAATGATTGCTACCCCTCTTGCTTTTGATGTACCAAATGCCTCTTCATATACATCAGCCCAGTATAACTCAAGTTCATTCACCCCTTCTTTCTTTTGATGAGTTTCTTGTAAGAATACAATATCTATTTTCTCTTTGCTAATTTATTTTTCAATTCTTACTTATTTATATTTTCCCCCTAAGCCCTGTACATTCCATGTAGCTACCTTCAACAATTTTCCCATCAATTCCTCATATTACATATTCCCTTTAGTCTCCATTTGTACTAACATAAATCTTACAAAACTAAAACTACACAGTATACATATTACCCCAAAATGTAAATAGCCTCTTACTGTCCATAAACATGTATAATGTCCCCCTTCTCTTCTTCAGGAGATCTTCCTTCTTTCTGCTGCATAGGGCCTCCAGGGGAGAGAAGAGGAGCCATCCATACATGGACTTCGGTCGCCCACTACCTCCCTTAACCATCTCCACTCTATTGCTACACCCAACATATATACGTATATAACCCATATCTCCTAATGTAACTATTACAAATATTTATATACTCTCTACAGCAAACTTGTAACTCCTGTTGCTTCATCCAGCCTCCCTTTCTCCCGTAGATCTTCTCCATCTCCCTTCTTGAGAATTTCAACTTCTTGTTCATTTTCTGCATCTGCTCCATGAACTCTTCCTTATTAATGATTACAAGCTCCCTTAATTTCCGCATTGCCTCCTCCTTTGTTTCAACTCTATAAAATATTCCATCATATGGAAATCTAAAAAAAACTGGATAGCCCCAGCTATAAATAATATTGTTTTTCTTCATAAGTTGACGATGCATCTCTCTCCTCCATTGTAAAGCCTCACTACTTAAGTCTGGAAAAAACTTGTGTCTGATGACCCCCAAACACTATCATTGAAACACTATATTTTGTAGTTTACGCATCAGTTGTTCTTTTTTTTGCGTAAGACCAAAATGTTATCACAATGTCAGATATTTTCTTCCTGATCTTTTTGGGCTGACGCTATGTATTGTAAAAATATCGTATCTTGTAAAGGAGACGTCTGGGAGGATTGAGGTAGCCCAGACCAATACTCCTTGGATCAACATTGCTTCATTTTCTTCACTTTTTTCCGGATATCTATGTATCCGTAAATTTGAATGGCGCTGACGGTCCTGTATCTCAATCAAATCCTTTTTTCACCTGATGCATCATAATCATCTGGCTTTTTAACACCCTATTATGTTCTCCAATCTGAGTCTTCACTTCTATAATATTTTGTGTAATATCCTGACTTTGTTTCACCAAATCTGTTATTGTTATATCCATATTGTCCATTTTATCATTTATTTGTTTCATATCCCCCTTTATATTTTTCTTCATTTCTTTTAATTCTTGTAAGATAATATTAAATTTGTCTGATTGAGCCAGTGATTTCTCAGGCGATTTTTTCCTCGCTTCCATTTCTAAATCTTTTTCAACTCGAATCAGGCATAATTTTGAAGGTCTGAGGCCTGCTTTGAGTCTTTTTCAAACACTTTCCACATTTTGGTACATTTTGACATCCGACCCTCCAAAAAGAGCTCTTGACCTTTTAAAAGTTTTACAGTCTATAGTCCATAAATGTCACTTACTCCTTTGTCTTTATCTCATCCTTATCAGCTTATCTCTGAGAATGCAATTTAATAAAATTAAATAAATCCAATGGCAGCAGTTAACTTTATTATACACAACTTATCCAATCTGTGTCTTAAAAATATTTAATTTCTCCAAACGTCGACACTTCAACTGGAAAAAGGGAGTAATGGGCCTTCACACACTAAACACATAAATCAGCTATTTATCTTCTCAGCTGTACTTGTTTAAACTCTTTCCAAATTCTTTCTTTCTCAGACTTCAATCAAAGGCCCCTCCTCTCCCGTCCAAAGGCCTCTCAAACCTTTAAACAAATGCTGAGGCTCAAAGCTCCTCCAAAAAAATATCCAATTCCAAATCAAATACAGTCCAATCTTCAGGAGAAAATCAAGGGAAATAATTCACATTTCATAATCTCTCAGATTTCATAATTTTTAGTTAGGTGTTATCTTTTGTAGAATCATTCTCTGCAACGGTGCAGAGGAGGCAGAAATTCAGCATCAGTTGTCCATTCTGGCAAGCTCCACTCCCATCAAGAAGCAGCAGTGAGAACTGGACATGGAACCGCTGATTGGTTCAAAATTGGGAAAGGGGTCCAGCAATACTGTCGCCTTGCCTATTTAACTTATATGCAGAGCACATCATGAGAAAGGCAAGGCTAGATGAATAAAAAGTTGGAATTAAGATTGCCGGGAGAAATATCAACAANTCCTTCCTTCCTTCCTTCCTTCCTTCCATTCCCCCCTCTCTCTTATATTATTGAAGTATTAAAAAGTAACCACTTTCCCCTAAATATTTCATTTCATTTCATTAAACTAATTTCAGTTCATCTTATCTTTCTAGGACTGCACAGTACATGAAACAGAGAACAAAATTTTGCATGTGGTAAGTAGCATTTATTGCATCATCATAGATATTAATAGTAAACTCGTTAAGTAAATGTTAATCCTTATGTAGTCAAACACTCTTGGTTCATCTATACAGCCTGCTTACATTCTAGGCTTTATTCTACACAGTTGTTTTACTAGGGGTACAGTTTGCTTAATTCTGCCCTACATATTGAACCATTATCTAAAAATATAAAACTATATAGATTTCCATGTACCGTGCATTTAAAGGAACAAGGTACATACTACTAGCCATTGTTTCTTGCTAATCTCTCCACTTGGAACCACCAAAACTATACCAGCACTATATCAAAAGTGGATGGTGTTCCAAATCCAAGAGAATGTATTATTTTACCATTGCTAAGAAGAATGGGATCCTTCTTATTTTAACTACCTTTTGGAGCTCTTTTATTTTAAGACTGGTATCAATTGTTTTTCTTTTCTACAGTAGTTCATCTAATGATCTATAAGATGTGTACTTTTATCTATGCATATTAGGCTTCCATCATATATTATTTCACTTTACAAAAAACTGTGTCCTATATCAGTTTTTCATTCTACCATTGCACCTAGCTATAGCATTTGGAGATTTATTTAGCTGACATGCACTCGGTCACTCAGTTATTCAGTTCCTAGTCATCTCATGGCTGACTATTATGCACTCTACATATGGCTACCCTTGAAGAGCATTCAGAAGCTACAGCTGGTGCAGAGTGTGGCAGAGAGGTAGTTCGGGGGTTGGGGGGCAAGAATGGCCCTTGTAATACCACTGCTCCATGAGCTGCAGTCTGCTTCTGGGTGCAATTCAAGATGTGGTGATTACCTTTAAAGCCCCTTATGGCACGGGTCCAGATTACTTGAGGGACCGTCATACTCCATTGGGATTGGCCTGTACAAATCTTGCTGGCTGAGGAGGCATCCTGTGAGACCCATCAACCCAATTGCTCCAGCTAGCGGGCTCCAGGAGGAGGACGTTCTATCCTGTTGGAACATTCCCCCCCCCCATGTGAGGTTGTCCCCAACTCTCCTATCTTTTTGTAAGAGTCTAAAGATGTTCTCCAAGTCAGCTTGGGGCCCCAGTGGGGGAACAGCATAATGGAGATCCCACCTCTCTCCACCACAGTCCTCCCCATGTGTCTTTGGTTTTAATATTTGATTTTAACTTTTTTATGTTTTAACTTAGTTGTGACTGTAAGCCGCCCAGAGTTACCTTATGGTAAGATAGGTGGCGAATAAATTTTATGAACAAACAAACAAACTGTATTATGTATTTTTGCAGCAAACTACCATATTTTTCGGAGTATAAGATGCTCTGGAGTATAAGACGCACCTTAGTTTTTGGGGAGGAAAATAAGAATAAAAAAAATTCTGCCTACCAGCATCCATGGTATTCAGCTGACAGATGGTAACAAGGCCAGCCAATGAATAGGCATAGCAACTAAATCAGCCAATGAGGGCTATTTGGACTCTGAAATTTTCTGTGTGAGCAACAAGGAGACAGGAAGAAGCCTGGCTTAGCCGAGAACTGAAAGTGAAGCTGCTTGTGTTTTGCTTGTATTTACTGCTATCTTGAAAAGCCTACTTTTGGTAATGTATTGTATATTATTATTATTTTGAATCCTGCTGAATCAGATATTTGTGTGTGCTTTCTGAACGTGATTGCTGTTGCAAATTCTGACCAGCCAGGTCAGCTTCAGTGCTTATTGCAGCCTGATTCAGCAAAGCTGATTGGCGGGTGGATCAGACTGCCGGAATATCCCCAATCAGCTGTTCCAGGCTGCAGGGATTGCCACAGACCATCGTTATCTCCATGCCTCACATTTTTGGCCTCTGGGTGTGGGGAGCTACATTTGCTGTATAAGACGTACCCAAATTTTCACCTGCTTTTTTTTGGGGGGGGGGAGGTGCATCTTATACTCTGAAAAATACGGTAGTTTTATTTCCCTATTTGCTCTTATTGGGGATGTGGGTATATATGATTTTTTTTACATGATTGGGTCAGATGTTAGGTCATTAGCATTACAAATTTAACAAAATTTTATTAAATAATATATAATATGTATGGAAAGAATCTGGATTGTATTTATTATTATGGTTATAGAATAGGTTTTTGTATATATGTGTCCTCTTCATGAATTACTGCCTTTTCATGGTGAAGGAGCTTGTGTAGCTCGATAAAGCTATGAACTATGCCATGCAGGGCCACCCAGGATGGGCAGGTCATAGCAGAGAGCTCTGCCAAAATGTGATCCACTGAAGAAGGAAATGGCAACCCACTCCAGTATCTTTGCCATGAAAACCCCATGGACACTACCAAAAGGCAAAAAGGCAAAAAGATATGATGCCAGAAGGTGAGCCCCTCAGGTCGGAAAGTGTCCAATATGCTACTGGGGAAGAGCAGAGGGCTAGTACTAGTAGCGCCAGAAAGAGTGAAGTGGCTGGGCCAAAACTGAAAGGACTCTCAGCTGTGGATGTATCTGGTGGTGAAAAGAAAGTCCGATGCTGTAAAGATCTATACTCCTTAGGAACGTGGAATGTAAAATTCATGAACCAAGGTAAGCTGGATGTAGGCAAACAAGAGATGACAAGACTAAACATTGACATCTTGGGAATCAGTGAACTAAAATGGACAGGAATGTGAATTTAATTCAGTGACCATCAGGTATACTACTGCAGGCAAGAATTCCTCAGAAGAAATGGAGTACCCTTCATAGTCAATAAAAAAATAGGAAAAGCAATACTGGGATACAATCCCCAAAATGACAGAATGATCTCAGTTCGAAAGCAAGCAAACCATTCAACATCACAGCAATCCAAGTCTATGCCCCAACCACTGGTGCTGAAGAGAATGAATGTGACCAGTTCTATGAAGCCCTACAGCACCTTATAGAATTAATACCAAAAATGATGTCCTTATCATCATGTTGGATTGGAATGCTAAATTAGGAAGCCAAAAGATAACCAGAATAACAAGCAAGTTTGGCCTTGGAATACAAAATGAAGCAGGGCACAGGCTGATAGAATTTTATCAAGAGAATATGATGGCCAAAACAAACACTGTTTTCCAACAACCCTAGAGATGACTCTACACATGGACATCACCAGATGGTCAACACAGAAATCAGGTTGACTGTGCTCTGCAGCCAAAGATGGAGAAGCTCTATACAGTCAGTAAAAACAAGACCAGGAGCTGACTATGGCTCAGATAATGAGCTGCTCATTTCAAAATTTAGGCTGAAACTAAAGAAAGTAGAGAAAAGCACTAGGCCACTCAGGTATAAACTAAATCATATCCCTGTGAATATACAGTATAGGTGACAAATAGATTTAAGGAATTAGATCTGATAGACAGAGTGCCTGAAGAACTATGGATGGAGGTTCGCAACATTGTACAAGAGGTAACAACTAAAAGCATCCCAAAGAAAAAGAAATGCAAGAAAGCAAAATGGCTGTCTGAGGAAGCTTTGCAAATAGCTGAGGAAAGAACGGAAGCGAAAAGCAAGGGAGAAAGATAAAGATACTGTACACCCAATTGAATGTAGAACTCCAGAGAATAGCTAGAAGAGATAATAATGCCTTCTTAAATGAACGGTGCAAAGAAATATAAGAAAACAATAGAATAGGGAAAACCAGAGATCTCTTCAAGAAAATTGGAGATTGGGAACATTTCATGCAAAGGTAGACATGATGAAAGACTAAATGGCAGGGACTTAAAAGAGGCAGAAGACATTACACAGAAGAACTGTACAAGAATGAGCTTAATGCCCCTGATAACCAAGATGGGGTGGTCACTGACCTCGAGCCAGACATCCTAGAATGTGAAGTCAAATGGGCCTTAGAAAATCTGGGCAACAACAAAGCTAGTGGAAGCAACAATATTCCAACTGAACTATTCAAAATCTTAAAAGACGATGCAGTAAAAGTGCTACACTCAATTTGCCAGCAAATTTGGAAAACTCAACAGTGGCCACAGGATTGGAAAAGGTCAGTTTACATTCCAATTCCAAAGAAGGGCAATGCCAAAGAATGTTCAAACTANATAGCCATTTGTCTGAAACGGTATAGGGTTTCCTGCCTAGGCAGGTGGTTGGACTAGAAGACCTCCAAGGTCCCTTCCAACTCTGCTATTGTATTATTGTATTATATTGAAACACTAAAAGAAATGTTTGTAAAGGAACCAGTGCTGAAGCATCCTGACCTGAGCAACCCTTCATGATCCAAACAGACGCCAGCGACATGGCAGTGGGAGCAGTGCTACTCCAAAGAAACAGCCAAGAAAACTTACAGCCCTGCGCCTACACCTCCCACAAGCTCACAGACACAGAGAGATGATGGGTTGCATGGGGAAAGGAGGCCTTCACGGTGAGATGGACACTGCTAACCTGACAACACCTGTTGTAAGGCGGCCAGAAACCATTCAAAGTCTGGACTGACCACAAAACTCTGGAGGCTCTCAGGACCCCACGGAAATTATCACCCAAACACGTCCAATGGGTTCAATACTTCAACCATTTTGACTTCGTATTAAAGCACATTTCAGGGGGAAGGAACTTTCTAGCTGATACTCTTTCCTGCATGCTCCAGTACAAATGCGAACATGAGCAGGTAGTGGATGCCATCATTCCCCCTACTCAAATAGCTACCCAAGTGACCACCAGATGACAACGCCATGACCGGCAAGACCAACCAGCAAGCGATCTAACCACGGGACTCAAAACTGAACTGCTAGCAGACCCCTGGTTCTGAAACAACCAACACATCTTAACAAAAAGAGATGACCTCGCATGAAACGGGACAAAATCCTATGTCCCAGAATCCCTATGCACCCTAATTCTCCAGAGGAGCCACAACACGAAACCGGCAGGCCACTTTGGGTTCCTAAAGACTTTACACTTAACCTGGAGGCAGTTCTGGTGGTCTGGCAAAAAGAAAGATATGGACAGTTACGTGAAAAATTGCACCACAATGAAGAGACGACTGGGAAACCTCCCCAGACAGCTGCAACCAGTAGAAGAACGAACGAAGCCGTGGAAGGAGATTGCAATGGGCTTTATTGTAGAGTTGCCAAAAAGTGAGGAAAACATGGTGATTTGGACAATAATAGACCTATTCTCCAAACAGGCACACTTTATATTTTGCAGTGGACTACCCTCAGTGCACCAGCTGACCAAACTTCCTGAAGCACATCTACTGCCTGCATGGAATACCTCAAAGAATTATCTCAGACAGAGGGGTCCAGTTCGTGGCTAAGTTCTGGAGGGAGTTCCTGCAGTCCATTGGGTCATTCCAAAGCCTTAGCNAGTTACCAAAGCAATAGGCATGAACTTAAATGGACTCGGGGATAGTAGAGGACAGGAAGGCCTGGAGGAACGTTGTCCATGGGGTCATGATGGGTTGGACACAACTTTGCAACTAACAACAACAACAATATATGTGTATTCATCAGCCATATATTTGTTAATTCTCCCAGAAACAGGGAGAAGAGAAAAATCCTCAATCTCTAAACAGATTTTTCTTTTTGAATTTTTTCTGATTGATTATTTTATCATAATTGCAATTTTATAAGGGAGTAAAATTGTATCTTTATGCCCAAGGTTTGCTGTGTTAGATTTAAAGTTCCTGGGTTAATATACTTTTTTTCCCCCCTAGTGTAAGACTCTATCTAGTGTCTGTGATCATATAATTTCACTTTCATCTGATCCCCTCGTGTCTCAATCTGCTCACCTGGAAGTGATTCAGCTAGCAAACATCAAGCCAAGTGAAGGGCTGGTAAGATGTACACAGTTAATCAAAACTTCATCCAGGATGGAAGGAATACGTTTTCTGAATAAAATGTTTATTTGGCATATCTAGACCCTTTACTGCAAATCTGTATGAAGCAGTCAGATACACCATGGTCAGTATTGCATGTTAACAGTTATTTTATAAAATCCTTAAGAAAACAATATCAATTGAAACTATCTTTAAAGTACTGTAGTGGATTGTATTCTGTAGTTTTCTAGAATTGGTTTTCAAGTTTAAATTACAGAATACTGTAAACTTTATCGTGTCTCTGACTGATAATATATTAATAATAACTTGTAAGGTATTCTAATACTTGAAGAAATAATCCTAATTAATTCATGAAAATGCTTTTGATATATATAATGCAGTTACAAGTCTGCTTATCCAAATATATTGATATTATTGATACTGTTTTCCCCAAATATTGTTGCTTTAATTTCCTCACAGTTATGCTCCGTAAATTTGTTATAAAACAAAGAATAACACTTAATTTTTTTGGATATGTATTTGGTTTTACCTAAAATATTTTAAATCCTGAAATCATTGTTTTCTAAATTTCACAATGTCATTTGCACTCAATCTCACCTTTAATCTGCCTTCTACTGTGCTACTCTGTAGTCCCTTGTTCTAAATCTTGTATTTGTCTTAGTGTCATAGTAGCATATTAAAATCATTTTCTATTCTACCATCTGTAATTTATTCCATATGCTATATCATAATTTGATTAAAATGTCTGCACTTTCATAATTTCATTGGATGTTTGTACACCTTTCCTACTCCAATCTATCCTTTTAGAAATGCTTTCTATGAGATGACCACATTCTCTTTTTAATTGTAAAGATACCCCCTGCCCCTGCCATTATGGGTCCGGGTAGGAGTGAGGTCGAGGCCTTCAGCTTGATGTCCTCACTGGCTTCAGTTGGCTGCTATGGAAGACCGGGTGGACCTTCCCCAATAGGCAAGGAAGCTTCAACTCCACTGTAACTGGGTCGATCACCCTGACTATGGGGAATGGATCCAAGAATGTCAGATCCAGGTTTTTGCATGGTAGTCTCAGTTTCAAATATTTGGTGCAGAGGTGCACATTTTCTCCTACCTAAAGGTCTCTGTGGTGACCTTTTCTTGTCCATATGGAGTTTCTGGGCCTCATCCACTTCTAGCAATGCCCACTTGACATCCCCCCAGGCCCCCACAGATTATCAATCAACTTCATCAACCTGCTTAAGGAAGGGGCCTCCAAAGGGAACTCAGGGATCGGCACAAACTCCACCCGGTTCACTAGTTTGAAGCGGGTATGACCAATACTGCTGTATATTGCATTGTTTTATGCCATCTCTGCAAACGGCAGAAGCTGTGCCCAATTAGTCTGCTGGTAGGTGATGTAACATCATAGGTACTGTTCCACCATTGCATTAGCTCTCTCTGTGGTCCCATTGGTGCTCTGATGGAAGACAGAGCTAAGCCTTTGAGATGACTCGATCGCTCAAACAAACTCCCTCCAAAATTTGGCTTGAATTGGACTCCTTGATCTGAGATTATCTTCCTTGGCACCCCATGTAGGCAGAAAATATGTGTCAGGGACAGTTTGGCTAGCTTGCGGGCTGAGGGTAGGCCTGGACACGTGATGAAGTAGGCCTGTTTTGAAAAGAGATCTATCACTGTCCATATCACCATGTTCCTGTGCCTCTCTGGAAGTTCCACAATGAAGTCCATGGCTATTTCTTCCCAGGGACTAATGGGGTCAGCTGTCAGCCCTCGAAATGGCAAGTCTCTGGCAGACTGTCTCAGGTTGCCAGTTTTGGGGGGGGGAGGCTTATAAGGATAATGAAAAACAGTAGACTCATGGCGTGGGAGGTTGACGACGACGAAGCAACTGGCTGACAATCAGCTGGAGAACAGGCCGGCAGCAGAAGAAAGAACTAGGCCCAAGAGAAAGATTACAGGCCTCTCAAGAAGTATTACAGCCACGTGGGTGGGCAGACGCATGTGGAGGGCAGGGCTAAATTGATGGGAAAGCAGCAACACTTATTTCTGCCTTTGTTTTGGTTGATATGTGCTGATGTTTCCAGGCTTGCAAGAATTAAAGGCAGCCCCAAAGACAGGAAGCCAGAGGGATTTTCAAGCCCTAATAGACTCAGGCTGCACTAGATGCTTGATCAACCTGACCACAGTCCTGAAACTGGGGATCAGAGCAAAAAGACTGGGCCACCCAATCTGGTTCAAACAGGTCGATGGGTCCCTAATGTGGGGAGCCTATGCCACCCATCTGACCGAACCAGTGAGAGTAGAGATAGTGGATCACTGGGAAGTAATTCGATTCATAATAGCCCCCAAAATGACAGATGCAATCATACTGGGACTCTCTTGCTAGACAAATGGGGACCAATCCTCTGGTGGCAAGGGGGTACCTGCAGGCTTAAGATAGAAAAGGGGCCCCAACCCCTTTTCCTCCAGCAAGCAGAAACACCACCCAAACAGGGAACCCCCCCCCCAAAAGCACACCAGAACATCTGGGAGCCACATCCGATGAAACCCCAGAGACCGAACAGATCCCAGGGGAATATCAGGACCTCGTAGAAGTATTCAGTGAGGCAGAATGCAACATTCTGCCCCCCCCCCCCACCATGAGGCAGATTGTGCCATCGAAATCATCCCCGGGGCAAAACTACCCAAACCCAAACTGTATGCCATGACACCCTGGGAAATGGAAGAAATGTGCAAATACATAGACAAAAACCTAGCACGAGGGTTTATCGAGCCAGCCAAGCCACGGGTTGCAGCGCCAGTCCTCTTCAAAGATAAAAAAGGCGGAACTATGAGGCTGTTTGTGGAGTTTTGGGGGAATAAATGCCGTGTGCATACACAACCTATACCTAATCCCCCTCATGAAGGACATGCTATCTCACCTGGCCAAGGGAAAAGTGTTTACCAAACTAGACCTCAGAGAAGCATACTACCAAGTACGGATCAGGGAAAGAGATAAGTGGAAAACAGCATTCAACTGCCCCCTAGGGAGTTTCCAATTCAAAGTGATGCCTTTCAGACTGCAGGGAGCCCC